TTCCCTGACTCTCTACAAAATGTTATTTTAACTGATGTAATTTACCATTGCTTGATTATATTCATTGTATTGCAAACAACTGCACCGCTTGCCAGGAACATGCAAAAAAATTAACTTGACCATAAAAACCGCACAAACAAATAGCTGACTTCAATAAACGACCCCATTACATTGTCTTGGGTGATATTCTGATGAGGTGTTTTTAAGCTGTGGTTTTTGTAATCTCTCTTGAGGCCATCTCAACAACATTTCAGGTAAGTGTTTAAATATGAAGAAGTGGCTCTGTTGGCCAATCCATTCCTGCTTTGGGAAAGAAATGGTTTGAAAAAGAAAGGATACTGAAAGCATTTGAATGACACTTGAAATACCCACAAATATTTGAAACACACTGCTACAGCCTTTATGAGAGTTTGCAGCAATCCAACCAGCCCACAAGTAAATAATTCAGCAGGATTCATCTATATAATAAACTTCTTTATATACAATACCATACAGCAGAAGCTAGAACCAGAACTCAGAACTCAGAATTCAGAAGTACGGAATCAATAATCACAGAAGTTACAGAATCACAGAAGCACTCCAGTGGTGGGATTCAAAATTTTTACTACTGGTCCTGTGGGCATGGCTTAGTGGGTGTGCCAGGGAAGGATATGGTAAAATCTCAATTCCCATCTCCCTCCAAGGAAAGGATACTGTAAAATCTCCATTCCCTCTCCACTTCTGGGAAAGATTGATGCAAAATCCCCATTCCCTCCCGATCAGTTGGGACTTGGAGGCAGACAATAGATGGGGGCGTCAGAGGTGGTATTTACCGGTTCTCCAAACTACTCAAAAATTCACCAGAACTGGTCAGAACCTGCTGAATGCCACCTCTGAAGCACTCATATAAATACAGATCAATGAACCTAAGCCATGCCCAGGCTTCAAGCTGTCTGCTTCACCAAACAGTCCCCATTGGCTGACCTGTTACCATGTCTATTTCAATTCATAAACCCTTATATACTGACAGCCTTTTTCTAGTGGAAAATGGGAATACACACTTTGTATCTGGACTGTGGTGGCTCCAGAGGGGGCAAAGGAACTAAGTTAGCGCTGGACATTCAAATTACAATTCTGCTCAGATGCTTAGCAAATATAAAATTACACTCAACAATACAAGATAAATTGCAAACTGGAATAAAAAGTTTTTTAAAATGAATTATATGAAAATAATGTTATACAATGTGTATCTTCCACTTTCAACCTCTGGTGGTCTTTAAATCTAACAAGCAAGCAAACAAACAAATCAAGTTGCTGACTTGAAGAACATTGTTATTTACATGGTTTAAGAAGGCACATAGCAAAAGCCATATTCTTGTCTTTCTTCTCTGCTCTGAGGCCATTCTTTTTTTTATCCTATGTATATAAATGTACATGACTAATTACTTTGCATACTATTTAAGTCATTAAAATTATATGTATATCTTTCACTAATATGGCTACTGTCAAGTTATATGTTATTTATTCCGCTTCTTTTTATTTTAATTGACAAATATAAATTTGCAGACAGAACTTGAAAAACAGATTGGCATGAAAAGCAGCTGTGTTTAAAAATAAGGTATGATTTAGACTTAATTGTATTCAGAGTATAGCCTCTGAAACAAATAGGACTGAATTCCTACTGCTTTCAATAGATGTACTACATAACTACAGCTGGATCCAACCCATTATGCATAGCTTGTTCATGGTGTTTACTGCTATTTTAGTCAAAATATACAATGAAAGCAATGGGGTACAGTTTGACTTCCAAGTGAAAGCCAAGTGGGTCACCAGCAAGACATCCATATCTTCCCTGCTAAGAAGTTGGTGAGGAGCTGTTACTTTCTTAGAAATATATCTGCAATAAGTGAAAGCTACTTGTTTAAAGTTACAGAACATTAAACATCAAAATTATATTTTGCCAACTTAAAGACAAATTCATACTTCGGAATATAACTGTAACAAGCACATGGTCTGCATAACCAAGGAAAGCTGCAATTTAGTTTATTTTAAAAGGATTGCTAAATATAGACTACAGTAAGGCATAAACAGCTCTGTGTCACAAAGAAAAGATCAGCCATTAGCAAGCTAAGACTATGGTGGTTCTTATATTTTTAAAAAGGATCTGGAACACTGAAGCCTGAACTTCACCAACTAACATCATTCAAACTCCCTTCTAGATGTGACAGCATGTGCTTCTATCAAATTACTTCTAATAAAGTGCAATTTTATTTATATTCAATTCAGTATTGTACTGAATACCTACATTTTTCCAATTATATTACACACATACACATGCACCAAATATTCTAGTTAAACCACTTATGATGAAACCCTCATGGACTGTGTTTACTATTTTTGCAGATTGTCCCCAGAGAAGAAAGAAGGTACAATAACCAGAGCAAACTGGAGGTAAGTACTTTCTATCTCTAATAAAACGACTCTAAATAATCCATCTTAAAAAGGTGCATATCAATTTAGGTAAATGACTTTCATAAACTAGACACATGCTTGAACAGATTTAGAAGTGCTGATTTTCACTGTTCGGTTTTCACTTTACTAGGGAGAGAAGAAGAGAGGGAGAGAGAGGGAAGGGAGGGATGACAAAGGCTTGAAACAACATCAGATTCTATCATGTAGAACAGGGATGTCAAGCTCACGACCTGCGGGCCAGATACATCATGCTCTGGCCATGCCTACCCCCATCTTAGTGAAGGGGGGAGTCACAATATGTCCTGTGACAACGTGATGATCTGAGTTTGATACCCTGATGTAGAATCATACTAGGGAAAAGGACTAAAATCTGGAAAGAGAGAATTAACAGGCAAACTCTCCCAATATATTTTACCTGAAAACCAATGAACTACTATTTAATTTTTCCGCATCTTTTTATAACCAAGCAACCCGAAACATCCAGTGAATAGGATGTCACAAACACTACATTAATATTGTAGGAAAATTTTGACTAGCTTGATTTCAGAAATCATGACCAATATATTTATCTGTATTTATTATTCTGTGGATGGTTCCTTAAACTAGACCACAAACGTATGTTTTGTGTTATCTCATGAGGGTACTTTTACATTTTTGAATTTGGTATAGTTTGCAGGGAACAATAATTCATCACTGAAAGTTGGGAGACTGTAAAAGTGTCACAAAATAGAACAGATGGATTTGATTTAAATCACCTCGATTTAAATCACGTCAATTTAAATCACGTCAATTTAAATCACTAGTAAAAAGGATTGATTTAAATCAACTTGATTTAAATCATAATTTTTAAAGAGCAACTGTCATCTCTGTCCCACAGCAGCTCCTCCTCTGACCCACTGTTGACTCACCAACAGTCCTAATATTGCAGAATATACAACCTCATGCTACACAACTAAGCTCCATTTCATACTGAATAAACTAAATTATGAATGTATCTTAAATAGAAAACTATCTATCTTTAGATAGATTTTTACTCCAAAAGCATTTTATTAAAATAAATAAAATTTGATAAACATTTTTTTAAAAAATCTGATTTAAATTTAAAAGATTTGATTTAAATAAAACAAAATCATCAATTTTTATCCATCCTGCTACCATTTTACTGGTAGGTCTCAACTTACGCCCATAATTGAGTCCACAATTTCAGTCATAATTCATGATGGTTTTGTGGCTCACCACATGGCTGTGCCAATTTTATGTTCTTTTTTGTGGCAGTCATAAAGCAAACAATTCAATCATTAAGTGAATCCATTGTTCACAATGGTTTTTTTGTTTTTTTGCCAGAAACTGGAAATAAATGCCATCAATCATAATCATGTGGCCATAGGATGTGGCAAAGAACTGTAAATGTGGGTCAGCTGCTGAGCACCCAAAATGCAGCCACCTAACCTTGGGGGGGGGGTGTCAGCCATTGAAACTTCAAATCTGGTTTTAAGTCCTTTTTTCAGGAGCTATCACAACTTCAAACCGTTGCTAAGAGTATTGAGTATTGAGTATTGAGTAATTTATTTATATGCCGCCCTTTTCCCTGGGGGGACTCAGGGCGGCTTACAACTCGAAAAGGGAGGGAAACAAACAATTAACATATAAGACAGTACATCATTAAAAGCACAACATTCATACCATTCGGGTGGGTTACAGTCTTTAATCCCAGGCCTGACGGGATAGCCAGATTTTAAGGGCTGTGCGGGAGG